GAGGATCGTTCATGGCTTACGTGAAATAGCCCATATATAGATTTTCTCTCACGGTACACAACAGAATTTGATAATATATATATCGTTGGATAGAGGAAGTCTTCCTCTGCAAACCTACAGATATCCCATTTTCTGGTAAAAAAAATGGCCTGCAAGTTATAGTCGTCTTTTAAGAGATGATCAGATAAAAGTGTAAATTATGTTAATAAAATTTAAAGTCTTCTTAAATCATTGAACTACTAGTACCGGAATATGCTATGAAAGAATTTGTATGACAGTTTTGCCTAGGAATTATTGAAAAGAACTTTTTCACAGGCCAAAGACTTTTCTTATCAATTCTTTATTAAGTTTACAAGCGAGCATTCCCTATGTGTTCATTTATTCTGAGCTCGAGTAGCGGCGTAACCAGGATTTCAGGCTAGGGGGGGCTCAGCCCCGAACGTTTTTAAAAAGTGCACAAAGCTAGTGCTAATTATTTTTCATTTTTTTTAGCAAAAGGGAACTAAGTCTCTGGTCTATCTGAAGTATACAAGGCTATTTGAGACCGGTATTTCAACACTTTAAGATTTCTTAGAGGATGTCCTCTGAGTTTATATCTTTTATCATAAAAGTGGGACTTTTTCAGGTTCAATTGCTACAATAAATACAATTGCACATAATGATTCAGATCTAAGTAATTGTCAAAGGTAATTTCCAATATGATGTCTGGACCAGAAACTAAGCACTCAAAATTAGTCGCATGTTATGTAAGGAGCATAGTGATTCTAAATGAAGTAGTTAGAAGCGTGACCTTTTTATCTAAAGTGTTTCAAAAATTAAAATACATTGAATTAGAAGTGTCAAAATTTGTGATAGCATAAACGATATGAAAGTCGATTTAAAATATATTTATAGGTCTGTCCATCAAGATGTCAGGGAGCGCCGGAGTGTTCTCTTTTGTTCGTTTAGACAGTATCAAGGATTTTTACAACTCATCACATGCAGTCTGTTAGAATAAGGTCAAGAAGCTTTTTCGAGCGATAAATACTTGCTCCCAAGAGAAACATTTTCGAAAGAACTTTGTCCGATTTTACT